GTGGTGGTGGTGGTGGTGGAGCCAACAGACACCCCGCTGGGGTGCTGGCAGAAGGGATGTGGCAGGGCTCTGGGGTATGCTGGGCCACCGGCTCTGAGCAGAGCTAGTGAGCTGCAGTGTTGGGTGAAGAAGGAGCAGATCTGGCAGGGATGGTGTGGGGTCTGTCATGGTGCTCACAGGGGCTGCCAGCATCCTGAAGTCCTCGGGGCAGGACTTCTCTGTACCTCCTTGGCACAGGGTGAGTGAGACTGGCACACTGTGCAGCTCAGACGTTGCAGGTCTTCCCCCCCTCCATCCTCTAGCTCAGTTGAGGATCACGACATCCATGCACCTCCCAGATCGTCCATTCTGCCATGGTGCAAGAATTTATGAAAGGACGTCTCCCAGACTGGCTGCAGCATCCTGTCTGGCAGCTGGTCCCCTTCTCAGCATCCCAGAAGGACTGAATTTGGGGACTGTAGGGTCTCTCTCCCCTCTCTGTGCTGAGTAGAGATTAAGCCAGAGAGTGAGCTGCCAGCTCTTGTCCAGGCAAGTCAAGACTTCAACACACGAGCAGATGGCTGAGGGTTATATTACACTATCACATCACCACATAGGACCTGCTGAACTGGGACCATATGAGCTGTGCATTGTTTTCCCTCCCAGTCCACAGCTTTGCTTGACTCTCTGCCAGTATCTGCACAGAGATGCTCTGAGCTCTTTGCCGTGAAGAAGCAGCCACATCCAAAACATGGACTCTCATTTGCTTGACTGGGTGAAGAGTTTGGGAGGCCCAGGATCTGAAGCTCAAGAGCTGAGATGGGACCAAACTTGAAGCCGGATGTGTCGTGCTGATGTGCAGGTGCCGTGCCATGATGATGTGCTGAGGGACACCAGATCTCAACCACGCTGGATGAGTTAACACTTGCTGAATTGCTGCCTGGATGGCATGAGTGGAGCAGATGGACAAGATGGAAGAGGGCTGTGGGGACTGGAGATGAGCACGTCTCAAGGCTGCAGTGTCCTCCCACAGTTTTTCTGCGGAGGGCACTGCCACAGGGTGTATCTCCCCCAGTGCAGGGCTGGCTGGTGGCATGGAACTCTCCTGCCCCCATGCCTGAGGATGGTCCATGACCAAGCAGCCTGTGCATGGTTGGTGTTGGGGTAGTTACAAGGTGCACACATACCCCAGAGGCCAGCCCCAGTGACTGCGGCTGATATCCCAGAGGCACAGGTGTCTGTTCCAGAGGTGCAGGTGCCTGCTGAGTGCAGGGCATCGTGGGGCAATGGGGCTGCACTGATCAGCACTAGCCTTTTTGCCTTGCATGGGACCTGTGCTGTGAAGCCTCCAGCTCAGCGGCTCCGCTCACGCTGGCTTGGCATGTGGCTGGGCTCTGGCTGACGTGCCGTGGGCATGGCCCCGTTTGAAGTGCAGGCTTGTTGTGTGTTTACCCTGGCCAGCCTGAGGTGTACAGGAAACCAGAGAGCTCTGCTCTCTGGCTGTCACTTTATTTGTTATGGTCACATCTCAGGCTGCCCGCGCTGTGAAAAGAAGGTAGGAAAACCCCCAAGCACTGCAGTGCAGTCCTGCCCTGCCCAGCCCTGCTCTGCTCTGATTCATACTGCTATCCTGTGGCTGAGAGCAGTCCCATCCTGGAGCGGGATGGTGAGATGCTCGGTGCCATATGTCCTGTCCGAGAGCAGGGTGGCTCATCCCAGAAGTGTCCAGCCACACCATGCCAGAAGAAATTGGAGATGGATGCCCAGCCCAATGCCACACCAAAGACATTACCTGCACTAGCACCTGGATGTCTCAGCCTGGCTGCATCTTCCCTGGCTCTTCACCTCTGCTCTGCAAAACAGCAATGAGCATTGTCATAGGTCTCCATAGCTGCATCCCTGCTCCAGGGCTTTCTCTTCATCGACCTCTGTCACCCCCGGGAAGGAGGCACAGGAGACACAGTCCAGCTGCCACGGCAACACGCAGAGTCTAGGGCTCACCAGCTCTTTGGGCTTGTAGGACCTCAGCAGTTTGTTGCCCATGGCTAGCAGCTCCACACAGCCTGCTCCAGCCCTGCTGCCATGGCAGGTCCTTGTCCTGGAGAGGACATCAGAGTGGTGATGCATTAAGATTGCATTAAGGATGGGGTTTAAGGATTGAAGGCTGCTGAGGGCTGGGAATCCCTCCCTGTGGGGCTGGGGACAAGTACATAGATGGAGACTCAAGCCACCCCAGCTACTCCCCACCACCGTGCACTGCAAGCACCCAGGCAGCAGCATGCAAAGTACTGCAGGCGGCAAGACATGGGCAGACTCACAGCTCAAAGAAGTGAAGAAGAGAGAAGCGACATTATACACGTGGCTATTTATAGGGGCTGCCCTTCTGCCAGGACTTGACTGGCAGCAGCAAAGGCTGGGCTGGCATTTTGCAAGCTCAGTCCAAAACCACCAGCCAACAACCTGGGGACATGAGACAAAACCTCCTGGTGCTTGGAGGGCTCCTGGTCCCTGCAGAGTCACGCGGCTTGACCGGCTGCCTTGCTATTAAAGGGAGAAAATGCTAGTGAGCCAGTAAACAGGGAGAGGTGAGCCAAGCTCCTGAAACCCAGGGTGATTTGGCAGCCCTCATCCCAGAGCAGGCAGCTGGGTGCTGTAGCCCACCATGCCGGACTAAACACTTGGTCTGAAATTGTCAACAGAGTGGTTTGAACCACAGAGAGTTAAATCTGTAGAGGGCACAGAGAACTGCTTGTAGGGAGGATTTTTAGAGCTTGATATTAATTTTGTTGTGTTTGAGCATCAAGTCTGTGTTTTCTACCAAAAGAAAGTCCAGGCAGGGATTCACTGAAGGACAACATTTGAGTCTGACTTTCAAAAGACATGAAATTTATAGTTTGAGATAGAAAAAAACAAACCAAAATAAAACAAAGCAGAGAAGTAGAACATTAGAAGTTATTTAAAAAGGAAAAACTGGAATGTTTCTTTCCAGACACTGCTTAACTCCACCTCTCCTCTCCTCTGTGTGGATAGTGGATTTCTCTCCTGGCTCTGGGTAGCATCTCCCTGGTGCCAGCCCTTGGAAGCTGGATGCTGCCTGTGGAGCCACCCTCTGGGTGCTGCACAAGGAGACCCTGCCCATGGACAAGGCTCAGCTGCTTCCCAAAGCCACTGGTGGCTACAGGCTGGCTTTTGGTTGTTCAGACCCAGGGAAATATCAATCACATACCTGCTCCTCAGTCCCTTGGCAGAATAACTCTCCATCTGGGGCTGGTGTTGGGACTGGCGCTGTTTAACATCTATGTCGGTGATATGGACAGCGGGATTGAGTGCACCCTCAGCAAGTTTGACAACACAAAGCTGTGTGGTGTGATTGACATGTTGAAGGGAAGGGATGTACCATCCTTGACAGGCTGGAGAGGTGGGCCCATGCAAACCTCATGAAGTTCAATAAGGCCAAGTGCAGGGTCCTGCATAGGGGTCAGGGCAATCCCAAGCACAGATACAGGCTGGAACATGAGTGGGTTGAGAGCATCCCTGCAGGGAGGGACTTGGGGGTATTGGTAGATGGAAAACTGACTATGAGCCAGGCATGTGTGCTCGCAGACCAGAAAGTCAAACATACTCTGGGTTGCATCAAGAGAAGTGTGGCCAGCAGGTCAAGGGAGGGGATTCTTCATCTCTGCTTCACACTTGGGAGACTCCACCTGCAGTGCTGTGTTCAGCTCTGGGGCTTTCAGTGTAAGAAGGACATGGACATGTTTGAGTGGGTCCAGAGGAGGCCACGAAGATGATCATGGGGCTGGGGCACCTTCCCTGTGAGGACAGGCTGAGAGAGTGGGGTTGTTCAGCCTGGAGCAGAGAAGGGTCTGAGGAGACCTTATAGCAGCCTTCCAGTACTTAAAGGGGCTACAGGAAAGATGGGGAGGGATCCTTTATCAGGGGTTGTAGGGATACGATGAGTTGCAATGGTTTTAAAGTGACAGAGAGTAGATTTAGATTAGAGATAAGAAATAAATCCTTCCCTGTGAGGGTGGTGAGGCCCTGGCACAGGTTTCCCAGAGAAGCTGTGGCTGCCCCCTCCCTGGCAGTGTTCAAGGCCAGGCTGGACGGGGCTTTGGGCAACCTGGTCTAGTGGAAGGTGTCCCTGCCCATGGCAGGGAGGATTTGGTCTAGATGATCTTTAAGGCCCCCTCCAACCCAAACCCATTCTATGATTTTATCTCCCCAGCAAACCTCAGCAGAGCCAAAGTGATGCTGCTGTTCCTGGGACACCCACCTTCTCTAGCTGGAGATGCTCTGCTGTGCCTCCCTGGACCAGCTCCACTAATGCCCTGGTCCTGCTTCTAGCTGTTGGCAGGTTGTCTATAGTGAGGTTTCCTTGAACCCTCCCAGCCTGATGTAAAATCAGAAGGGACCCATCTCTGGGACCTGCTGGCAGCTGCAGACCAGGGCAGGATGGGATCTCTTCTTATGCATGTTCTCCTGGAGGCTGCTCCTGGTTGTGGCCCACATGGGATGGGAAAGGTCTTTGCTCTGACATGAAAAGCCTGATTGCTCCTGCCCCCATGAGCCTGGATCCTTGCCTTGGGATTCTGGGTGATGCTGCGGCATGGCGTAGAGCTGGGAAATGGACGCAAGATAGGGAGACCCAGAGCCCGGTGCTCAAAAACCTCCATCCTGATGGCTCCTCTGCTCTGTCACGGCGTGGCATTGCTGGAGGAGGGGGGGGGTTTATCAAGGGGCCGGACATGGGGCCTGTGTGTGCACAGCCCCGGGAGAGCAGCAGCCCCCAGGCTGGACCAGGGAGTGCTCAGCAAGGGCTGGGAGGCTGCGGGGCTGGAGCAGGAACACTCCCAGGATGCCGGCAGCCTTCCCAGCTCCGCTGCTCGGGCCGCGGCTGCCCTCTCCCGGCTGTGGACCAGGGCTGAGCTTTGCTTCCCGTGCGGCATCTATCTCCTCCGGAGA